TAGAATTTACAATTCAAAATATCGAATTTACTCTTCAAAACTTAGAATTTACTCTTCAAATCTTAGAATTTTCTCTTCAAAACTTAGAATTTACTCTTCAAATCTTAGAATTTACTCTTCAAAACATAGAATTCACTCTTCAAAACTTAGAATTTACTCTTCAAAATATGGAATTTACTCTTCAACACTTAGAATTTACAATTCAAAATATCGACTTTACTCTTCAAAACTTAGAATTTACTCTTCAAATCTTAGAATTTTCTCTTCAAAACTTAGAATTTACACTTCTAAACTTAGAATTTACTATGTAAAACTTAGAATTTACTCTTCAAAATATAAAATTTACCCATCAAAACTTAGAATTTTCTTTTCAAACTTAGAATTTTCTCCTCAAAACTTAGAATATACCCTTCTAAACCTAGAATTTACACCTCAAAACTTAGAATTTACTCTTCAAAATTAGAATTTACTCTTCCGAACTTAAAATTCCGTCTTCAAAACTTAGAATTTATTCTTCAAATCTTAGAATTTACTCTTCAAAACATAGAATTTCGTCTTCAAAACTTAGAATTTGCTCTACTAAACTTAGAATTTTCTCTTCTAAACTTAGAATTTACTCTTCAAAACTGAGAATTTACTCTTCAAAATATCGAATTTACTCTTCAAAACTTAGAATTTACTCTTCTAAACTTAGAATTTACTCTTCAAAACTTAGAATTTACTTTTCAAAATATCGAATTTACTTTTCAAAACTTAGAATTTACACTTCAAAATTAGAATTTACTCTTCGGAACTTAAATTTTGTCTTCAAAACTTAGAATATACTCTTCAAATCTTAGAATTTACTCTACTAAACTTAGACTTTATTTTTCAAAATTTAGAGTTCTGCTATTTGAAAAGGAGTTCAGCTCTCTGAAAAGAAAGCTCCGCTATTTGAAAAAGGAGATCTGATATTTGAAAAGAAAGCTCGGCTATTTGAAAAAGGAGTTCTGCTATTTGAAAAGGGAGTTCTGCTATTTTAAAAGAATGCTCCGCTTTTTGAGAAGGGAAGTCAGCTATTTGAAAAGAAGGTTCCGCTATTTGAAAAGGGTGATCTGCTATTTGAAATGAAAGCTCGGCTATTTGAAAAAGGAGTTCTGCTATTTGAAAAGGGAGTTCTGCTATTTGAAAAGAATGCTCCGCTATTTGAAAAGGGAGTTGTGCTAGTTGAAAAGAATGCTCCGCTATTTGAAAAGGGAGTTCTGCTATTTGAAAAGAAAGTTTCGTTATTTGAAAAGGGAGTTCTGCTATTTGAAAAGAATGCTTCGCTATTTGAAAAGGGAGTTGTGCTATTTGAAAAGAAAGTTTCGTTATTTGAAAAGGGAGTTCAGCTATTGGAAAAGAATGCTCCGTTATTTCAAAAGGGAGGTCTGTTATTTGATAGAATGTTCCGCTATTCGAAAAGGGAGTTCTGCAATTTGAAAAGAAAGTTCCGCTTGTTGAAAAAGGAGTTCTGCTATTTGGAAAGAATACTCCGCTATTTGAAAAGGGTGTTCTGATATTTGAAAAGAAAGTTCCGCTATTTGAAAAGGGAGTTCTTATATTTCAAAAGAATGCTCCGATATTTGAAAAGGGAGTTCTGCTATTTAATAAGAATGCTCCGCTATTTGAAAAGGGAGTTCTGCAATTTGAAAAGAATGCTCCGCTATTTGAAAAGGGAGTTCTGCTGTTTGAAAAGAGTGCTCCGCTATTTTTAAAGAGAGTTCTGCTACTTGAGGAGAAAGTTCCGCTATTTGAAAAGGGAGTTCTGCTGTTTGAAAAGAATGTTCCGCTATTTGAAAAGGGTGTTCTGCTATTTAAAAATAATGCTCCGCTATTTGAAAAGGGTGTGCTGTTATTTGAAAAGAATGCTCCGCTATTTGAAAAGGGAATTCTGCAATTTGAAAAGAAAGTTTCGTTATTTGAAAAGGGAGTTCTGCTATTTGAAAAGAATACTCCACTATTTGAAAAGGGAGTTCTCCAATTTGAAAAGAATGTTTCGTTATTTGAAAAGGGAGTTCTGCTATTTGAAAAGAATGTAGCGTTAGTTGAAAAGGGAGTTCTGCTATCTGAAAAGAATGCTCCGCTATTTCGAAAGGGAGGTCTGCTATTTGAAAGAATGCTCCGCTATCTGAAAAGAGTTCCTGTGCTAGAGGAGAAAGTTCCGCTATTTGAAAAAAAAGTTCTGCTATTTGAAAAGGGAGTTCTGCTATTTGAAAAGAGTGCTCCGCTATTTTCAAAGAGAGTTCTGCTACTTGAGGAGAAAGTTTCGCTATTTTAAAAGGAAGTTCTGCTGTTTGAAAAGAATGTTCCGCTATTTGAAAAGGGGGTTCTGCTATTTAAAAATAATGCTCCGCTATTTGAAAAGGGAGTGCTGTTATTTGAAAAGAATGCTCCGCTATTTGAAAAGGGAGTTCTGCAATTTGAAAAGAAAGTTTCGTTATTTGAAAAGGGAGTTCTGCTATTTGAAAATAATACTCCGCTATTCGAAAAGGGAGTTCTGCAATTTGAAAAGAATGTTTCGTTATTTGAAAAGGGAGTTCTGCTATTTGAAAAGAATGCTCCGCTATTTGAAAAGAGAGTTCTGCTATTTGAAAAGAAAGTTTCGTTAGTTGAAAAGGGAGTTCTGCTATTTGAAAAGAATGCTCCGCTATTTCGAAAGGGAGTTCTGCTATTTGAAAAGAAAGTTTCGTTAGTTGAAAAGGGAGTTCTGCCATTTGAAAAGAATGCTCCGCTAAAATTTTCTCTTCAAAATCTAGAATTTACTCTTCAAACTTACAATTTTCTCTTCTAAACTTAGAATTTACTCTTCAAATCTTAGAATTTACTCTTCAAAACATAGAATTTACTCTTCAAAACTTAGAGTTTACTCTTCAAAATATGGAATTTACTCTTCAACACTTAGAATTTACAATTCAAAATATCGAATTTACTCTTTAAAACTTAGAATTTACTCTTCAAATCTTAGAATTTTCTCTTAAAAAAAATTGAATTTATTCTTCAAAACATAGAATTTACTCTTCAAAATATAGAATTTACTCTTCAAAACTTAGAATTTACTCATCAAATCTGAGAATTTACTCTTCCAAATATCGAATTTAATCTTCAAAACTTAGAGTTTACTCTTCAAAATATAGAATTTACTCTTCAAAACTTAGGATTTACTCTTAAAAAAAATTGAATTTATTCTTCAAAACATAGAATTTACTCTTCAAAATATAGAATTTACTCTTCAAAACTTAGAATTTACTCATCAAATCTGAGAATTTACTCTTCAAAATATCGAATTTAATCTTCAAAACTTAGAGTTTACTCTTCAAAATATAGAATTTACTCTTCAAAACTTAGGATTTACTCTTAAAAAAAATTGAATTTATTCTTCAAAACATAGAATTTACTCTTCAAAATATAGAATTTACTCTTCAAAACTTAGAATTTACTCATCAAATCTGAGAATTTACTCTTCAAAATATCGAATTTAATCTTCAAAACTTAGAGTTTACTCTTCAAAATATAGAATTTACTCTTCAAAACTTAGGATTTACTCTTAAAAAAAATTGAATTTATTCTTCAAAACATAGAATTTACTCTTCAAAATATAGAATTTACTCTTCAAAACTTAGAATTTACTCATCAAATCTGAGAATTTACTCTTCCAAATATCGAATTCAATCTTCAAAACTTAGAGTTTACTCTTCAAAATATAGAATTTACTCTTCAAAACTTAGAATTTACTCTTCAAAACTGAGAATTTACTCTTCAAAATATCGAATTTACTCTTCATAACTTAGAATTTACTCTTCAAAACTTAGAATTTACTCTTGAAACTTAGAATTTACTCTTC